CCGGCTCGGAATCCGCAGCTTAAAACCCTTCGTCGCTTCGTATCTCGACGTACAGATTTTGGAGGTTTAGCGGGACGAATGTACTTGGTTGTTGTGTTTCCTCATCCACTTTGCCCTCTGCACCGTCCATGGTCGAAGTCGTTCCATCTTCCTTACCTTCGTCTGCTCCAGCTCCATACTCACGATTTATTAATTCAGTCCAATGATCCATATCGTACTCTACATCTTCCTCGTCTTATGATTCATGTCTGATACTCCCTTCAAAGTCCTTGAATTCCTCATCTGAAGCTGGGTCTTCATCCGAAACTGCTTCTTCCTCTCCTTCAAAAAAAACTCGTCGTCTTCGGCTAGACTAATCACACGCTCAGCTTCACCGGGAGAGTCAGTTGCCTGTACGTCATCTCCTACACCTTGCGGTGTCTGACTGTCTCCCCTCTCTCGTGTACAGTTTGAAGGGAATTCATCTTCCACACTGTTCACGAGTTCTCTCTGACAGCCAACGTAGTCTTGCTCTTCGTTGTGTACCGGTTTGAACCCAACAAATAGGGTTACTCCTTTATCCATCGCTCTCATCATCGCCTTGTAGTTTGAAAATCCCCCATCTGTCGTAAAAGCGACCGACGGATTCTTGACGGTACCTATAAAGGGCATCGTAGATGGAATCCAGTACGTAAACGTTGGTGTCATTGGAGCACCGACTTTGAACTCAGATTTGACATGCTCACTGAATTCTGTGTACGATACGAAGTTCGCATTCATATTTACGCAGCTTCCCATCTGTTTGTTATCAGTTGTGAAATCCTAGACGCCATTTTTTCCGCATTCCCACTTGCTACACATAATTACCACCAGATCTCTCCTTACCTGCTGTACATCATAAGCTCGTTATTTATTTATACAAACAATTTCACGTACACCATAATAAAACGATTAAAATAGATCACTAAGGACTCGTACACACTTACCTCCAACATATTCTCTGCTTCCATTAATGGCCTCTATTAATGTTTTTCACCTACAACAAACCCATACTTAAATACAAAAGACTTCATCATCTCTATTTATTTAGATTATTTATTCCGATTTGAAATATCTTTTACGCCATTAACACATCCCGCGCATTTACTCATCTGAATTTGATAGTCTATTCGGTCACGTCCGCGCCGCCCTATGTTGTACGTTGCTGCTTGTCCTGCTTGCCCATTCCCATCACACACGTATTTGGGTAGGGGTAAAGTCGTCCACATTTTCCTAAGAAGTGTCAAACGGAAACCGTTTTCGTACTTGTGCCAAAACCACAGTCGAATGTACACAAAGTGTTATTGTCGCCAATTCTCTCATATTAGAATTACACGGTGAAGCTGTATCTGACTTGCTTAATACGTTATGGATTTAAGAAAATGTTTCTCTTGTTACAATTCACAAACTAATAGTTTTTCATTTTATAGTTATGTTATTTCATAGTTAACTGTTTTCTCCTAATTTATTGTGATTAAGAATTATCGTTCTATTAAATCAAGTTTAAGGCTACAATTGTTTTTTTACAACAACATAAGCATAATAAGACTATTTTACCACTAATTGGTAACTCAATCATTTGATAACGAGCTACAAAAAAAACATTATAATTCTTAAAAAAAACATTATAATTAATTGTGTATGCACAATTCGCTAGCATGTCGGCTATGGAATTAAGTG